ACAGAGACACACTACACACACCCCACATACATCACAGCCTCTCCACCCCACACACATCACAGCCTCTCCACCCCACACGCAGATACCACACACACACCCTACACAGACACACTACACATACCCCACATATATCATAGCTCCTCCACACAAATATCCGCTCCCCCCACCACAGGCACACACCACACACACACACACACACACACTACACGTATATCACACATGCCGACACGCGTGCTCCTCATATCCTCACATGCACCCTCACAGATTGTTTTGGGAGGCGCTCATGGCAGGTTTGGGAGATGGGAAGCATTATCATGAGAACGTTCACTTTTTTCTCGTTGATTTTGGGATGAGGGCTAAGGAGCAAAGTAGGAGGTACCCCAGATTCATCCCTAGTTCTACCTTGTTCTCGCCCTGACAAAGGCAAAGAAAGGGATGTCAGCCCTTGGATAAGCCAGGAATCAATTGGGAGTAAAGCCATTGAAAGGGAGGGCAGCTGGGGAAACGGAGTTGAATCACTTATAAGTGATTTTTGAATTATCAGTCATTGGTCTCTGGCTAAGGACCATGAGAAGAAGCTAACGCTTATTGTGAATTATGAAAGGGCTCTCGAGGCTTGGACAGGGAGGTCTTTTGATTGGCTGAGAAGAGTCATGACATTAGACTAGATGGAGATCTGTGTTTTTCTTTTTCTTTTTCTTTTTTTATTTGAGACAGAATTTTACTATGCTGCCCTTGGTAGAGTGCCCTGGTGTCACAGCTCACAGCAACCTCAGATTCCTAGGCTTAAGTGATTCTTTTGCCTCAGCCCCCCAAGTTGCTGGGATGACAGGCACCTGCAGTTCCACTGTTGTTTGACTGGCCTGGGCTAGGTTCGAACCTGCCAGCCTCAGTGTATGTGGCTGAAACTGTAACCACTGTGCTATGGGTGCTGGGCCAGAGATCTGCGTTTTCAAAGTAGTTACCATTTCTATCAACAGTCTCCACAGTCCAGAGCACAAGTGCTCCATTGATTTGTTACATGTTTACGATAGCTGATGTGATTTGTTATCATGATTTGAGTCCCTGTTATTGGGTGCTGTTTTCCTAAGGTGTATCTTAATTGTCTGGGGGTAGAAATGTATTCAGACTCTTTAGGTCAAATAAACACCAACAATTTCTTCATGGGAACCTGCTATGAACTGGATGATAAAATGGTAACATTTATTAAGCACTTCCTACGTCCCTAAGCACTTTATTTATTCTGTTTATCTTAAATTCTAGGTGATACATATTATACTGAGCCTCATAAACAGTGGAGGGAAATACACATGCGCTGGCCATCACTATTTTTAAGGATTATATAATGGAACTAAAAAACAATGTCTGGCTCGGCGCTTGTAGCTCAGCAGCTAGGATGCCAGCCACATACACTGGAGCTGATGGGTTCGAATCCAGCCTGGGCCTGCCAAACAATGACAATTACAACCAAAAAATAGCCAGGTGTTGTGGTGGGCGCCTGTAGTCCCAGCCACTTTACTTGGGAGGCTGAGGCAAGAGAATGGCTTAAGCCCAAGAATTTGAGGTTGCTGTGAGCTGTGATGCCACGACACTCTACCCAGGGTGATAGCTTGAGACTCTGTCTCAAAAAACAAACAAACAACAACAAAAACAAACAGAATAATAATGTCAATATATCTATTGACTTAGGATCTTAATAGATGAGTACATTTCCAGAGGAGTTCCTGCTTTCCAGCCAGACTTATATGAATTCAGCTTTTGTCTTGTTTTTATTAGAATGAGACATCAGGAATCAGGTGTGCGAAGGAGGATTCGTAATGCCAGTGCTTTCTGGCCCATATTCAGTGCTGAGGTTCACGTGAGCTCTTGTTTTTGCTAACTCAGACATTGACTTAAAAGTCACTTTGGAGAGGTACTATGTGATGGAGCCCTGCAGAAAACAAAAAGGGTTTAATTGGAGTAGAACAAAGCAGATCTTCCATGGATTGGGCAGATTTGGGGTAAGGGTATGGGTCAAAATTGCAAGGGTGGGCGGGCATCCTGGGAAGACTGAAAGAGCAAACTGGGGTTTTGCTTTTCTTCCGGTTCTATTTGTTCTTAGAGTTTTACAACTTCCTAAAGGTCTGGGAAATTCTCTGGGTATACAGATGCCAGGGACCACTTTAGACCTGGAGATTATGTGATTGTACATTGATGGATTTAACACAGTGGGGGGACTTCAGTGTGTCTTTCACTGTGGGCTTGTGCAAAGGCCCTCTGGAGGCCGTGTGCCTGGGGCCACACTGGGGCCATTGCTTTAAATACCCCTGGACCTCTTCTTTAGGATCTTCCATCAGGTCCTGTCCAATGGGCTCTCTTTTTCAAAGCCTTCAGAGGTGGCCGCTTCTGACCTTAAAAATGGATTAAGTAATGGTCCAAAAAAGCAGTAGAATTTATCTTCCCCCCCACTCCTTAGATAAAATGAATAGAGTGGAAAAAAGGGGGGAAAAGAAGATGAGAATATCCTAAGAGTAGATATAAATATTAGAAACAGCCCAAAACGATTGGGAACAATTCAGGCTGGGAATCAGAGTTTAAAAAGAAATTGACAATATATTTCCTTGATTGTTTAAGTAAAGCAATTCTGATGGTGTTTCCAGACTGGGGTTCTACAGGTGCTGGTCAGCTTGTACATATTCAAGGGTTCCCATTCCTTCTCCTGCTCCCTTCCCTCCCCCTCCTCCTCACCACCCCCCTCTCCCCCACCACACACTGATTTGCCGCCTTGAGTGGCAGCAGGAGGGCCTACTGTGGGACCTCAGAACTTGTCAGAATAGGCTCCCCTATAAAAAACCAACATGTCATTCTGCCATGCTTTGGTCTCTTGGCAAGTCAGGTACATTCTAGGAGAGCCGGCAGCCCACACATGGGTGCTCCTAGCTTCACAGAGTTCTGTTTATGAAATCAAGGAATGGGCTTGGCGCCTGTGGCTCAAGTGGCTAAGGTGCCAGCCATGTACACCCAAGGTGGTGGGTTCGAATCCACCCAGACCCGCCAAACAACAATGACGGCTGCAACCAAAAAATAGCCAGGCATTGTGGTGGGCGCCTGTGATCCCAGCTACTCGAGAAGCTGAGGCAGGAGACTTGCTTGAGCCCAGGAGTTGGAGGTTGCTGTGAGCTGTGATGCCACAGCACTCTATCCAGGGGGACAGCTTGAGGCTCCTGTCTGTAAAAATAGAAATCAAGGAATGATCCCCTTTTGCCCTCACAGGTTCCCCAGTGCTCTTTAACTGCCTGTGTTTGTGTTTTTACCCACTAGGGGAAGCTGCATGACCCTCAACTCATGGGGATTATTCCCAGGATCGCCCATGATATCTTTGACCACATCTACTCCATGGATGAGAACCTGGAGTTTCACATCAAGGTGAGTGCTAGGGATGGAGTCTCCAGGGAAGACACTGGACACCCCTTTGTGTAGTTGTAAAAGAAGATCTTATCCAATTTAAATGACATTCCTATGGTAAACAGAGCCTATTTATTATTTAATAGCTTAGGCTAATATTTGGCTATCTGGATGGTTTGCCAGAAATGTCAAGATAATGAAAGCAAAAGCTCTCTTAGGGTAGAATCAACTACTGATTGCTCTGTGGATTTCTATAGATATGGCTGGAATGTGTCTGTGTGGGGGTCAGGACAGCATTTCCCAAAGTGTCTTCCATGGAACACAGTCCCTCATATTATTAATGGTGGGCTAAGGGAGAAGCATTTTGTGGCCAAATAAGCTGGAAAAAATATTAAATTTATCACAGATTTAAATATGTTATTCCGCAATGTGGCTGCAAAGGGGACGTGTACCAAATTGCCTTTCCCAGCTTATTTGACTGTAGACACATTTTTCCCCCTTGGCGCTTGACAGACTAGTGTCTTGAGGAGTTTGCTCTGGGAAATGTTGGGGAAGGGAATTCTCCTCCTCTTTTTGCCTCCTCCTTCTTGTATTTTGGTTTTGTTTTAAACCCGAACCTCCATTCTGGCATGTTAAATCACAGAATTTGGTGTTGGGGTGTATTCATTAGAACTCCTTTGTTTGCAAGTGACTGAAAGCCACCAGTCTAAGCAAATAGAGGATGTCCTTACAAGATACAGAATCTGACAGCTGGCCTTTCAAGGGGAGGGTGTGAAGAGCCAGAAATCTAAGGCCTGCTTTTCTTTCTTTGAACTTTCAGAAAATTGAGATATAATTCACATATCATAAAGTCCCCCCTTTTAAAGTATTCAATTTGGTGAATTTTAGCGTATTTCCCAGCGTGTACAATCATGTCCATTATCTAATTCCAGAACATTTTATCACCTCCCCAAAGAAACCCCAAACCCATGACAGCCCCCCGCTCTCCTGGCCTTTCTCTGTTTCCTCCTCTTGTTCCAGACCATCTTTCTCTCTTTTGGTGGTGGGGTGGTGATGCTGGTGGTGGGGTGGTGATGCTGGTGGTGGGGTGGTTGCTGGTGGTGGGGTGGTCGCTGGTGGTGGGGTGGTCGGCAGTGTGGCAGCTCCTGCTTCACGTTCTCTCATTTGCAATTCCAAATTCCCTCAGGAAGGGCTTACTGGCCCAGTGTGCAGTAGTTGCACATGCTGTCCATGTCTCTCCCTCCATGGTGGGGGGTCCTTTAGAGACGGTGAGACTGAAGTTCAAAGACCAGAGTTAGGTGGCCCAGCTTAGACCCAAGTTACTAACAAAGCTGAGAGGAGACTGTAGGTCTGCCCAGCCCCGACTGCATGCAGCACTTTTCCATTGTGTTAAACTTCTGCCCTAAACACCATACACCTTTCCTATGTTCCATAAAAAAGAAGGCAACAGCTACCCGCCCACTTTTCCTTACAGTTCCTTTTGTTGGCTAAAGCCTGCTTCTCCTCCTTGCCATGTTCTTTATGTCTAAGGATGCAGAAGCTTGTTGCTTTGATGGGATCAAGATTTAGAAGCTTAGGGCTTCTTTAGGGCTGTTTGCATTTAAATAGCTTAAACTACTGCAGGGTTCTTATGTGATAATCCTGGAATAAGTTGTTAAACCAATTACTGCCCTCCAAATAAGGTCTGTGTTAGAATCTTATTAAGATAAAAACAGCCCTAGCATGAAGTGGGGGGAGAAAAGGAACAGCACTTTCTAAGTCTCCAGGGCTGGATTTTATAATCCAGGTTCCTGTTTTGCCTTTGTAGTTATGCTTACTTATTTCATAAATAATAATTGTAAGTGGGCAAGTTAGCTGCTGAATATTTTGTATTTTGAACTGAGCTGTGACAGGCTAAATCAAGAAAAACAGAAGGCTCATTAATGCAATACTGAAATCTGCTCCCTAAAATGTGTCCCACAGACTCAATTTAAACATTTCTGAGGCTCGGCGCCTGTTGCTCAGAGACTAGGGCTCCAGCCACATACGCTGGAGCTGGTCAGTTCAAACCGGGCCTGGGCCTGCAAAACAACAATGACAACTACAACAACAAAAAAAATAGCCAGGCGTTGTGGCGGGCGCCTGTATTCCCAGCTATGTGGGAGGCTGAGGCAAGAGAATCACTTAAGCCCGAGAGTTTGAGGTTGTTGTGAGCTGTGATGCCATGGCACTCTACTGAGGGCGACATACTGAGACTGTCTTTAAAAAACAAAAATTTCTGAACATTTTATGTCTTAATGCCAAGCATGCCTACTTACTTTTTGTTTGCCTGTTCTCACAAAGTATTTGAAATGACAACATAACAAAATCACTCCTTGCCCCCAATAAACACGCCAAGAGCAGAAATTAATAAATCAGAATCCTGTTTCTACTTATATTAAATGTGAATAGGATTCTAATTACTAGATTTGCTAGCCTCTAGCTTGTGACTGCTTCTTAGATGTAAATCATTTTCTCTGTCATCTTTGAAAATAAGGCCATATGTTTAAAATTACGAAGATAACAGAAAAGTCTTGATGAAAATCAGACAATTCTGCTATTAATAGAATGGACTGAACCAGGGTTGAGTCAGCTTCAGGAAGGGTTGGCTGAGAGGTGTTTAGGATTGGAGGCCAAACAGACCCGTAAAGATTTGGGCAGCAAGGAGGGTACAGCATGAGAGATTGTATATAGAGAGTTGTGAGTTTCTCAAACAATGTCACACCGATGTATCCACGGGAGATTGGGCTCAGGGACAGGGATTGGACAGCTATTCAAGTAGGCAGATGTTGTTAAGGATACTGGCAACCACGAGAGGCTGCCCAGCTATGGATTCTACTGTTCAAAGCTAGAACCCCAAATCTCAGGGGAACTGGGACGCCAAGTGGTTCCAGACGGAGGCACAAACAAGACAGTGAACCAGGGCAGAGCAGTGCTGGGTTGGGGAGTCCTCACTTCCCTGGCTGAGAGCTGGGATGTGTGGGTGAGAGTTCACTTGTGTAGTCACACCCCAGCTTTACCATTTTACTCTTTTCCTCATTGTCAAGTCTCTTGTTTAGATTTCAAAACCGCATGTGAACATAGGGGAGAAAAAAGTTTGTTTGGGAGGCAGAAGGCAGATGTAACAGAGTGCAGAATCCTAGAGGGAATTGTTGACATCATGAAACCTAAAGGCTTCACATTACAGAAGGGAAAATTGAGGCCTGAGGTCTTAGTTTTATATGGATTGAATCTCACATATTTAGTTAAAAGAGATCTGAGATGCCCCTGGCATAAGAATCGCTTGTGGAGTTTAGAAGCAGATTTCTACGCCTTAGTGTCTGTGATTCTGATGCAGCAGGGCCGAAGTAGGTTCAGGGCTCTGTAGTTCAAACAAGTCCTGACCGTGGTGTTGGAACCGAGGCTTGAGAGTAATTAACTGGAAAGCCCCCTTTCCCTTTCATAGTCTATTCATCTTTAGTAAGTTGCATTTTCTTTGAATACTTTCTGGAATCCCCAGAGCTGGCCACCATCACCAGCTCGCCCAGACACCTTTCTGAGCTCCCCTGGTTCCAAGCCCTCACCCTTGCTCTCTCCCTGCTCCCCCCTTGTGAAAGGTTGGGTTAACCCTTCCTCTCCACTCCTGGAGGCTGTAAAATCAGGACATTTTCTATTCTGGCTGTTGTCACATGTAAAGTTTGCTTGGTATTTATCTAAGGTAAACCTAGGGTCCTCTTGTAAGTGGCTGTCTGGCATGTGATGTAAATTACACCTGAACTGAGACCACAGTGGATGTGGGGATGGACAGTGGTCCATGCTCAGCAAGCAGGAAGCGGAGGGAGAGAACACAGAGCCAGTTACAGTTGGATACCCCGAGATTCTGAATCTTCACTTTGTACTTCCTCTTCTTATTCTCCTTACACATGCGTGAGCGAAGCTTTTCTAAGTTCTGATAGTGATATTTTTGACACATCCTGTGGCATTTCTATCCCAAACTTCATTTGTTTTTCACTAGGTTTCCTATTTTGAGATCTACTTGGACAAAATAAGGGACTTACTTGATGGTGAGTAACCTCAGTGTTTGTCCTTTATGTGTTCTGTAACAAATAAAAGTCCGGGGAGGTTGGAATAATTTATAGCACTCTGCTTAGGGAATTAGTGAACATTTATAGAGATATTCTATTGCTTTCGGGTTAGGTGTTCATTCTTAGCAAAGGCTGAAACTTGCGTATTGCAAAGAAATTAGATTTGCTTATCTTCTATCACAATTTTTATTTTTCTTCAATACGGCATCTTTAACTTTTCTTCTCTGCATGTTGTCATTATCTTCTCTACAGTATCCAAGACCAACCTGGCTGTTCATGAAGATAAAAACCGAGTCCCGTACGTAAAGGTACGAGGAAGCCTTGACTGGTGATGCAGTTGATTTCTCTTACTTCACTTCATACTAATCATTTTATAAGATGCTGGAATATTATCTGTAAAGGACATATAGATATTTAATTGTGTTCCTTATTTTTAATACTTATCTGGTTGAAAAATTGGCACTAAGTTTAATTTTATCTTTTTTCTTTATGTAAATTATTATTTAAATACAGGAGAACCTCCACAGTTGACCGCCTCCCTACATTGACCACGTCCTTAAGTTGACCTAATTTTCTTAGACTGGACATGCAGCACATGTACATATCAGGACAGGAGGCCTACTTCCTTATGTTGGCCACCCCTGTATGTTGACCACTTTGTTACAATCCCATGGGTGGTCACTTACAGAGGTTCTTCTGTACTATTATTTCATATTATTCACATTTAAGGAGGCCCTGGTATTGCGGTCAATAATTCATACTTTGTACTTAGGGGAAGCCCTATTACAGCATGTCTGCAACTTCAAAGTGTCTAACGGTGGTAAATAAATCAAGATGGAGGCTCGGCGCCTGTGGCTCAAGTGGCTAAGGCGCCAGCCATGTACACCCAAAGTGGCGGGTTCGAATCCCCAGCCCGGGCCCGCCAAACAACAATGATGGCTGCAACCAAAAAAAATAGCCGGGCGTTGTGGCGGGCACCTGTGGTCCCAGCTACTTGGGAAGCTGAGGCA